CAAGCATCAATCTTGAGTAAATTAGCTTTAATATTTATTGATTTATCCAAGATTTCGTATTTCTCCAAATTAGCGTTATATGGGAGGTAGGCGTGGTTATTGTCCCATTTAAAAATTTTTTGGCCATTTAGTATGCTGTAGTAAGACTAACAACTGTGCCAAGTTTGGAAGAAATTGGTGCAGCGGTTACCAAGATATACACATGTAACCATAAGTGGGCGTGGCTACGCCCATTTTCCAAAAATTTATAGTATTCTTAGTTTTTGTCTAAAAATTGTTATAAATATTAATTTTAATGAATAATCTTCAGTAGTTACTAAAATATCGCAGTTTTCGTATTTCTGAAAATTACCGTTATATGGGAGGTAGGCGTGGTTATCGTCCGATTTTGCCCATTTTCAATACCATCCGTCCTACGCCGGAAAGAAGTTAACATACCAAGTTTCGTTAAGATATCTCAATTTTTACTCCAGTTATCGTGTGCACAGACGGACGGACAGACGGACGGACGGACGGACAGACAGTCACCGCTTAATCGATTTCTCTTTTCATTCTTATCATTTATGTATACATTTGTCTATATCTATCTCGATTCGTTTTGCCTGTTACAAACAACCGTTATGTGAACAAAGTTATAATACCCTTGTGCACAAGTGCGCTCGGGTATAAAAAGGTATCGGTGGCTCTTTACTGCTGTAAGAATGTCATAGGGAAGAGATGGGGCCTCTAATGTTATATGGGAACATTGTCTGGTGGAACTCGCTGGAAAAGACCACTCTTGTTAGGAAGCTAGAGCGCGTGCGAAGGGCGGCCCACGTTGAAATCAGCGGAGCGCTCCAGAGTACTCCTACTTTAGCGCTAAATGCTATGCTCTATGTCACCACGGGCAATGTAGCGGCGGTTTCTTCAGCCATTACGTTCAAAAGCTCTGGGTTCTCTTACAACCCAGCGCACGGGCACTTGACAATTCTCGAAAGCTTCGACTTCTTAACGGAAGAAATGGACTGAAGCCTTCCGAGGCTAGCCCCAAAAGGATCGTTCTCCACACACAACCCTCAAAGGGACGAATGGGACAATGGTAGTCTCTGGAGAAAGCTGGCCGCTATAAAAAAACACCCGATTTGCTATGCACCAATGTACTGTCGACTACACTGAGATAAAGGATTAGTTTAGACAACTAAAGATATTAAGTTCCCGAATTTTGACAATATTTGGGAACTCTTACCAAGGATTGGGAACTATTACCATGGGTTGGTAATTATAACTAAATATATTAAAACTTCTAATATTCATCTAGGTTGTACCAAATTGTTAATTTAGTTGAAGGGTTTGGTAAATACTAATAAATATTTCTTTGAAGCATATTTCTACAAATTCCATTCGTAAAAGGATGTTATTAGGCTCTGCTAATGCAGATCAGCTTTCTTTCAACCATGGTTTAGTCATAGTTACCAAATCCTAGTTGAGGCAACCACGATTTGGTTTGAGAGAGAAAATATTCATGCTTGTGAGCCACCCCTAAAGAATGCTGAGCGCTCTCTCAGCACATGTGTGTTTCACATACGAAGAGCGCCAGCTGAGTAATGCACATAGTTCCACTTATTGAATCGTTTGAATGTGCTAGTATGCCGACCATTATTTCGATCACTGCGCTAGGTATAGAAAGAAAAGTATGCGCTATGACATGCCCAGACTTGTTTGTCTCAGTTTCAGTTCTGCTATCGCCGCGAGTTGTTTCGGTGCGCTCATAGTTATTTAGAAATATAAAGTTTGATGCAAACCGGGGTTTCTCAGTAGATATATATTTCATGTAAACTATAATTTGAAAGTGTATATTTAGCCAAGGGAAAAGCAAAGCATTATACTTAAACCAGCACTTCCAGCAGATATTGACCTGGGTTTTCGCACGACTGTTCCTGTTTTATCTTTTCTTTTTAGGAAATTCTTATCGCCATATACATATGTATTATTTACACTAGTAACTATTTATGTAAATATGTATGTATTTTTTATGCTTAATATATGCAAATAAAAGAAGAAAGTAAACACAAAAACCATCGAGTAAATTTGTATTTGTGTCAAACTGAAACATTTTTTCCAATAATAAACGATAAGCTGATTCAAGTCCACAGCAAATTCACAAAATTAATTGAAAACTTGCATCAACCAAAGCATTGTTTATATTTGCTCAAGAATGATTTTATTTAACTAACAATATTGTCCAATCAAGGTAGTCGTTTTGTAATTATTAACAAATATACATTTGTCCCAACCAGAAGTCTCAAGAAAACTGCAGACTTTCGTGAACTACATATTTATTTCGCCATATCCAACTATGCCACTTGGTCACTATAACCAAATCTTTGTAATTATAACTAAACCTTTTTCTGGGTGTGGTCGGGGAATGCCTGACCTTTCTCTCTACCGCCTCGGAATAATTCCAAATCAAGCTGATTTGGGTCCCAGAGGGCTGCTACAGCTGGCTAAACGCCAACTCTCGATTCTTAAAGGTGTACTGACCGGACATTGTCCTTTAGGAACCCACGCGGTGCGATTCAATATCGTCACGGATCCCTTAAGACTTAAGCACCTCGGTGCGCATTGCATCAACACTCCCGAAGGGCTCTCCCGAGTGGACATCAGCTACCTGTGGAACTTTGTTGTGAGCACCCAGCGCTTCTCTTAGTTTAACATAGTTACCGTTCTAAGAATTTGTGTATGTAGTGTGGTATAGTACAATGGACAATTGAATGTCTAAGAGCCCAGTTACACGACATGTATTTCCATATGTAAACGCTACTTGATGCGTTTTAATATATGATACATACGAGTACATGCAGAATAGTAGCATTTACATGTGCAAATACATATCGTGTAGGTGAGTGCCGATCGTGGGTCTGCCACAATAACTTATCCTAATCTAACCTAAAGTGCTGCCAGATTTTTAACATTAAAATTAAAATATATTTAAAGGATGTATTTATATAAATAAAAAATAAGTAACATTAACGAAACATTTTTAAATAATCCTTTTACATATTATACCAAAACATGATGTAGCGGAGACACGAACCAAAATCTATTTAGCTCTATCTCTTTTTAACTAGTAGGCGGAATTAAATGAAAAAAGTTATCGTTGAAAAGATATTGTCTTATAGAATAATACTAAATATGTTTAGTGTACCTGCATGCCCCCGTAAATCGACAAAACCAAAAAACCGTAATATTTTCGCAACCCTTTAGCCTAATTTTTAAGAATTTGGCGGATCACTTACGAAACTTTAATACATTTTCTGGACACGCTGAACACACCGCAAGGCCTTTCCAGCGATTCCTCAATCATGTCGATTGGAGGTCTGGATAAAAGCTTCCAAATCTGGTGTACATATAAGCTAGGCTACTGAGACTGCTTTCGTCATTTGCTCGCACTGCCGTGTGCTGTGATTTACAATTAGCAAACAAATATTGTCATTGCATAAACGACGGTACAGTATCTGTTTGGATTGCGAGCAAGTATTGAGTTCCACTTCATTTATTTTCAAGGGTATTTGCTTCATTACTGCATTGACTGAAGTGTGCAATAGTGTACAGTCAAGTAAAACCATTTGCGCTGCCCTCTTTCAAATCAAAGCAAAACAGAATAATAAGTTTCACTTAGGGCCGGTTGCTCAAAGCCTGATTGACACTAATCACCGATTAACATCGTTATCGACGTTTTCGGCTCCATGCAAATAACATGGTGTCGGTAACGTCGATAACGATGTTTAACCGGGGATTAGTGTCAACCAGGCTTTGAGCAACCGGCCCTTAGCATTGTTTTCTCGCCCGTAAAAGCAAAAACTCTTTCATTGTTTACCAACAATGTTTTCAAATATTATATGAGTCACACGAGGTATTACCTACACAAGTATTCATAGTAATAGGGATGTTTTATGACAAAGTTCCTCCACATTTAGCGTTTCGACGCTAGGTTCTAAATGCTAATTATGGTATACATTTGAAAACTGTTTCCAATAAAAAGTACTTCTCTTATGGTAGCTTATGGGTATCTACCATTGTCAAGAAATCTGTGTCCATTTCTGTATTCGTAAAGAAAAGCAGCTAATATCTGGAGGTGGAATTTACTACATCGTCGCTACCATGTCAAATTATCGAATGCATTTAGAGTGATGCAAAAATTGGCAAATCGTCAAATTTCGAGTCTTCTTAGAAGCAGAGGATACTGGTTATAATAAAGTGGCGAATCCCACACTTTTTTCTAATGACAAGAACATTTTTTACAACATTTTCCTTGTTCTCCTGAAAAGTACCAATGTTCATATTCGATAGTTTGACATATTAGCGACGACATGTACCATTAAATTTTTTTTCTTAAGTGTAAGGGTATCTGGTATCAAAATTATTTGCTTATATGTACATATGTTACTTTCAGTTGTCAATTAATATTATTACATGACTGCTTAGCAAATTACCTCATATAAATAATTTTAACATACATACATACCAAGGTACATTGAACAGGTAGTATCAGTAGAGCAGCTGATTTGATTTATTTTCAAATTATTTGGTCTCGAACATGTCAAATATTTTTAACTTTTTCTCACAAAAATTCTGAATTGTTAAAATCCATTTGCATGTGAAACCTTTTTCCATACAAAACAAGCGATTGAATAGCAGCTTTTGGAACGTTCGCCCAACTCAGCAGCACAACCGCTGATTACTGGCCCTTGTAAAGGATGGATCAATGCTTCGAGAAGTAAACAAATTTACTAGGAAAGAAAGTTGCAACAATTTTTATTTTTTCCAACTTCAATTTTTTATTTTTTATATTTTTTTGTATTTCACATGGCACGCTTTGATTTAGAAGAAAAAATTCAGAACAGTTTTTGACACTTTCGATACCAGAAGCAACAACAAAATACACGCAAATGTTGTTTTTGCTCTACTGATACTACCTGTTTAATGTGCCTTGATACATACGTATAAATTTATGATTTCAGGCCAATATGAAAGCAATTTTAATGTTATTGGTGATTATTGCTGTTCAGCACGCATCATGTCAAAAGCAGTACACAAACAAATTTGATAATGTTGATGTAGACGGAGTTTTGTCAAATAATCGTATTCTAACCAACTATATTAAGTGCCTTATGGAAAAAGGACCTTGCACTCCTGAGGGCCGTGAATTAAAAAGTAAGTTTTAGTTTAATGCTTATGCATTTTCATGACTAAATAATTGCGTAAACTTTTTTTGTAGAATTGTTACCAGATGCATTGCAGACGGAATGTTCCAAGTGTACCGACAGCCAGAGGAAAAATTCTCAAAAGGTCATTAATTTTCTTCGGGTTAACCGACCAGGGGAATGGAAATTGCTACTGGATAAATATGACTCAAAAGGAGTTTACAGAGCTAAATACGAAAAACAAGGCTAAATTTTATATTCCAGTGTTTATATACATATATTTTGTATATCCAAAACGATTTAAATTCATAGTAACAGAAAATATATAATAATTATTTTAACTTTTTTCTAGCCAATTTCAATTTAAATCATAGATATCGTCGCTACCATGTTAAACTATCGAAGGTGAAAATCGTTACTTTTCAGGAGCGCAAAGAAACTATTGTGAAAAATCTTGTTGTCATTAGGAAAAAGTGTAGGATTCGACACTTGTCTGCTTCTAAGAAGATTAGATTTGCCAACTTACTTATCATTCTTACCCAGAGACCGTACCGGTTATTGCAAAGCAAAAAATGTAAGTTTGAGCAAATAATATCGGTTAATTCTGTTTTTTATTTTTTTAAGGCAAAAATAAAAGTTAAAATTTGCAAATAATCGGTTATTGTTGCCTTTTACATTTTTTGGCAAAAATAAAACTCAAAGTTACAAATCGAGTATTCCAAAGTTGTGTATACTCGACTTTAATAGTTTTCAAGCTCCTATCTGGGTTCTAATCAGTGCACGGACTTCAAAAAAATTAAAAGTGGTAGATTTTACATACAAAATTGGTAGAAGTTGGTAGATTTTTTTAAAAGAAACAATATTAGATAGGTTTTACTCATATAGAATAAATGAAGGCGAAATCAGGTAAGGTAGTGCTATCAGAGCAGCTAGATTTTCGCATTGGTGATTCTTATTGTCAAAATGATGTATTTGTTGAAATTCTTACTGTAATTACGCGTAAAATTTGTTAGTGGCCGTTTTGAACTTCTGGTATCACCTTATATGAATTCACCTTGGAATAAATTGTATTTTTTTATAATACAACAAAAAATGTATTTTACGCCAACAAAACATTCAAGAAAAAACTTAAAAATGGGCCCGAATAATGGCATCCGTGATCGAATGAATCACGATTCGAATCGAATAAAATAAAATGACAGCCGTTTGTCTTAAATATATTTTAAGCTGAAAAAGCAAACTCGCCACCAAATGCCGTAATTCAAAAAGAAATTTCGATCCGAATTTGACTCGAACACGGGTGCCTTTATTCTACATTAAAAAAAAAAAAAAAACAATTACTCTGCACTACAAAATTGTTTGGTAAAAATTAGTTTTGAAATGCTTGAAATTTGCAACCCATTCATTTGGCAGTCTGCTACACAAAGTATTGCTAACGAAAAATATTTCCATAAACAGCTGATAGAGATGTAATTTCACTTTTAAATTGGCCATGGTCAGAGTTAACTTTTCATATTTATTTTAGGTGTATTCGATGGCAAAATATGTATACACTGCGTTCATTTAAATCTTTTTGTTTTCTTTCCGAAAAAATATTGGTAGATTTTAAGCCTTTGTTGGTAAAAATTGTAGAAAATAAAATACAGCTAAAAAGTTGGTAGATCTACCAATAAAGTGGTAAAGTCCGTGCACTGGTTCTAATAACCCCCAAACCAGGGTTCGGAAATATTCACTCACCTTCGTACGCGAACGCGAAGGTGAACGTATCAAATATTCTGTATTGATTCTCCTTCGCGAACGAGAAGCATAAAACCAGTCCAGATAGTTCGCGTTCGCGAATGTTAAGGCCGGTCCACATAGAACTTTCGCGTTGGCTTTGGCGTTGGCGTTGGTTTGACAGAACGCACGTTAAAAGTATGCTTGCTACAATGAACGCTTGGCAGCGAATCCTTGGGCCACTAAATTAACATACTAACGACAGATAAATTAATATTTCTTATCGATAATTGCATTAAAAACGATATTTCTTGCCCGCACTTGATTAAAAAGGAAAAATATTTCACATAATTTTACTTATTTGCAACAGCTGACGAGCGACGCACGCGAAAAGTTGAGAGTTGGCCATCTTTTTGCTTTGTGTTGGCGTGAGCGTTGTCGAATTTTGGCTATGTGGACGGCTGCATTTGGATTCATGTATTCATAGTCAGCTGTTGAAGCGACGCCAACGCCAACGCAACGCCAAAGTTCTATGTGGACGGGCCTTTAGGTAGAAAACATGTCCGCTGTTGTTCGTACGCGTATGTATTGGTGGACCAAACAGCGTGCGTTCATATATCTATACTATTATATAAAATTGATTATATGGAGGACGTTTGTAACGACTTATTTCTCAAAGTACTAAACCGATTTTAATATTTTTTTTTTTAAACGAAGCATTTGTAAAAAGACGCAGAGTGGCATACTTATATTTTTTATTCTTGGAAGATAAGCACCCTTTTTTTGGGTGTAAAGTTATAAAAAATTACAAAGACGTACAAGCATAAGCCTATTTGGTTGCCAAATACAGCGCATAGCTACGCGAAAAATCTGTACATCAGTGCCGATCAAACACCAGCTCACAAAGGCAAAAGAGATGTGTTTGAGCGACGAGACTGCACATACATACGCATATAAACGTATTTGAGCTAAACAGCGATCACTGAATGAACATGCTAAATACATACATATGTATGTGTGTACACATTTATAACCGAAAGGCAAAGCATCGCTTCGAAGTCATGTGCAGTATGTGGTTGCCACAACAAACTAATCATATGTATGTACATATGTATCCAAGTATGTCCATACACAGAGTTCAAAACAAACGAAACATTTCACGAATGATTCGTCCAAAGACACAAACTTTGCAAAGAACAAGTAAGAAAGTCTAAAGCTGATGCCAGATAAAACTTTGTAGCTTTGCGTGACATTTATAACTTTGCCAGCAAAGCGCCAGACGCAAAAGGTATGCCACAATGAACGCCAAGAAAACAATGTTGTACCGCTTTTTTACTCATCAAAGTTGCTGTGGATTTTAATTATTTTGATTTAAAATTATCAGCAATGTAATTAAGTTTTATGTTTCTGCATGAAAACCCGAATTTGGACGAAACAAAATAAATATTAAACCGGCTGATTGCCAAAGCGCGCAAAAAGATGGGAGTTGACCATCTTTTCGCTTCGCGCTGCCGCTTCAACGATTTATGTGGCATGCTTTGTGCATTTTCATACAATTCATCTTATCTGTCAAAGCGAATCTGTCACGTAAAGCGAAGCAAAAGTTTTATGTGACATGAGCTTAAGTTCGGGCGGAGCCGAACATTAAATACCCGGCGCAAGTATTAAATATATGTTTTCCTTCTTTCCGAAAGCTACCGCTACATGATAAGCCGGGGTGTATACATTTTAAGTAAATTAGCGTCCTTAAATTTCGAAATATTGAAATTTCAAGCATTTCTGAAATTTACCGTTATATGAAAAGCGGCCTCAATTTTAGTCCGATTTCAACAATTTTCAACGGTTTGCTTTTATGTGGCAAGCACAATAACCATACCGAGCTTGGTACAAATTGCTAGAACGGTTAGCGAGATACATATATGTGATCACAAGTGGGCGGTACTACGCCCATTTTCCAAAATTTTGGCTGCGTTTCTTTATACATTCCGGATAATCTCATTTCACAGCCGGAATAAACAGAATGCTTTTGAAATATACGTTAACATATCATCAGGAACATTCTAAAGAATAAGTAAACAAAAAAGTTTATTCCAAACGTTCAGAATGAATAAAGAAATTCAGCCTTTGTCATAAACGTATTTCTTGGTAAAGAATTGTTGCAACCATCAATTTTGAATAAATTAGCTTCAATATTTACTGATTTATCGAAGATTTGGTATTTCTCGAAATTACCGTTATATGGGATGTGGGCGTGGTTATTGTCCGATTTTAGAAATTTTCGGCCATTTGGTATGCTGTACCAGGACCAACAACTGTGCCAAGCTTGGAAGAAATTGGTGCAGCGGTTACCAAGATATACACATGTAACCATAAGTGGGCGTGGCTACGCCCATTTGCCAAAATTTTGTAATATTCTTATTTTTCGTCTAAAACTCATTGCAAATATCAATTTTGAGCGAATTATCTTAAGTAGTTACTAAAATATCACAGTTTTCGTTTTTCTGAAAATTACCGTTATATGGGAGGTAGGCGTGGTTATTGTCCGATTTTTAAAATTTTCTGCCATTTAGTATGCTATCCTAAGGCCAACAACTGTGCCAAGTTTGGAAGAAATTGGTGCAGCGGTTACCAAGATATACACATCTAACCATAAGTGGGCGTGGCTACGCCCATTTTCCAAAAATTTAAAATATTCTTATTTTCCGTCTAAAAATTATTGCAAATATCAATTTTGAGTGAATTATCTTCAGTAGTTACTAAAATATCGAAGTTTTCGTATTTCTTAAAATTACCGTTATATGGGTATAATACAGGGTGTCCCAGAAGTAACGTGCCAAACTTTAGGGCAAGGTAGGTGGGGGGG